CCAACCTCCACCTCCACCTCCACCTCCACCTCCACCTCCACCTCCACCTCCACCTCTCACCTCCACCTCCACCTCCCCTCCTCCTCCTCCTCCTCCTCCTCCTCCTCCTCCTCCTCCTCATCCTCATCCTCATCCTCATCCTCATCCTCATCCTCATCCTCATCCTCATCATCATCACCATCATCATCATCATCATCATCATCCCTCCTTATGCCTCCTCCTCCTCCTCATCCCTCCTCGTCCTCCTCCTCCTTCTGCCCCCCAAGGGCTCCTCCTGCCCCGCGGGGGCGCACCCGGGGCGCGCCCGCTGGAACTACTCTTTTTCTGGACACCCGAAATTCGGCGGCGCGCCTGGGAGGAGCCCCGGGGGGGAGGTTCGAGGTTCCTAGGGCTCCCAACTTCGCGCTTCGCGCTGCGCGAAGCGCGAAGCGCGAATAACTTCGCGCTCTCGCGCCGCCCTCCCAAAGGGAGAATAGGAGGACGAGGAGGAGGGGGAGAAGGAACGAGGACCGCGAAGCGCGAATAACTTCGCGCCCTCGAGGGAGCCCTTGTTCCAGGGGTGCCCGGCTCGTCCTGAGCGGCCCCCGGGGAGCCGAGTTATGACCCAAGAACTACCAGGCGTCCGAGAGGGGGCGGGTCTTCTCTGAAGGCTCGGAAGGCCTCGGGCCTTCTGAGAGGTTGTCGAAGCCTTCCCCGAAGGCACAACAAAAGCTTCTCAGGAGGCGCGAGGGCTTCTGGGAAGCCCCGCCGCCTGCTCAGAAGGCCTGCTCCTTCTCACTTCCCCCCCAAGCGCGACGCGGAGAAATTGGTACGGGAAACATGGGTACGATGAGGGTGCCCAACAACAGACGTTGTCCAACGGCGACAGCGGCCGCTGCTGGGCAGGCGGACTTCTGTCTCAAACGGGCAACATTCGCGGCGACACCGACAACGAACCCGTTCAGCATGATCAGGAAATGCTGCCGGTCTCCGTACATAGTCTTTCCGGAATAACCCCTTTCCATCGTGCCGAGACACAAGTGCGGATATCTTCTTGTGAGACCTGCAACCATTGCTCTGGAAATCAATGGTTCTCCCGGCCTTGCGGGATGATCGAATTCGGCCTCGCGGGGATCGGTCATGCAACAGCTCCGGCTCACGGGGCAGATGTCCTCCCTCAACGGCGGACCAGCAGCGGTGTCCCCGGAGCAATCTGTATCGAGCCTGGGCGACAATTTTTTCTTCCTTTCTCCCTTCCTCCTTCCCTCGTCCCTTCTCACTCTTTCATCCTCTCTAGTCCCTCCCACGGCGCCGTCCAAGGCAGGCCGACATGGACCCCACCTCACTTTGACGTGCCTCAGGAGGCGCACGCGAGACCCTGTTATGTGGTGGATCCTCCGTCTCCTGTTCCTGTCTCCGAGAAGTTTGAAGAAGCAGCTCGCGACCTGCTCGAACACAACAGCCAGTCGAAAACATCGGAGGCAGGACGCATATGGCCAGACGGGCGGCGCAAACTAGAAGCCTTGAGGCTGGATCTCGTGGGTATTCCACAGACGAGGCACTGGGCCACTGAGACGTTGCACCGGTGGCGCCTTGGATCCCTGAAGGCCCAAGCCCCTGAGGTGCCAGAGCCTTGAGCTTACGATTTCCTGGTTCCTTTCGAACTCTGGGGATCAGAGATTCTGCATCCCAGAGCAACTGCGCAAAGGGGCCAAAGAGGAAGAGGGGGAGGAAAAAGACGAAGAGGGCTGCGTACTACGGACACCAGGAGATCGAGGTGGGGGCGCTGCTTACAATTGCACTTTCGCATCTCGCTCGGAAGATAGTCGACCTCGGGACTTAATGCTCTGTATCAGAACGGCCCAGAGCTTCCCACGCGCAGGTGTTAGGTTAAGGAACCGAACTCTATACACCGACGCTTTTTGCGGCCCCGCACTGAAATGCGCACAGGAAAGCGGGTCCTGGTGTATACGGATCCTGGTGTATACATTTTTGGATGTTCCCCCCGGGGAAATGGGACAACAAGTATACACCACAACACCCCGACGTCGTCCCTGACTCTCAAAAGGTTCTGGGATTGACAAATAGCCCGCCACTGGTAATGTATTATATGCTCCAACTTCAGATTAGGTGCCCCCCGAGTTTGACTCGTCATCTCTGACTGACACGACTAGCCTTCAGTCGGGCGTGTCCCCCTACGGGGGGATTTTGGGCGGAAAATAAAAGATACCCAAAACATACTTTTCGACCATTTTTGAATATGCCCCCTCCAATACACCTCCCTTTAATGAAAACGGCCTGGGACCGAAACCGACGGACCTGGACCCGCAAAAATGACGTCCGCGACGCCCTCTCGCGAACCGAAAACGGCCAATTCCTTAATCGACGTGTCAGGGTATGAGGTCTGTCCACCTCCGACCCCCTGTAGAAAGGACAGACCCGACTTAAGGCTAATCGCGTGCAGGGAAGGCCCAGCTCTTCGCTCGCGGCCCCAGTGGCGATGCCCGCACACCGGCCGCCTACCCCGCCCACGACGGGACACGCGCCATCCTTGGCCCACAGTGGAGGAGGACAGGGAGGAGGAGGAAAGGGAGGAGGAGGAAAGGGAGGAGGAGGAGGAAAGGGAAGAGGAGGAAAGGGAGGAGGAGGAAAGGGAGGAGTGGTGGTGTATTGCCTGCAGCTCTCCTATGGCCCCAGGGGCCCAGCGTGGAGCAGCGGCGGCCTGGTGCCCGAGGGCAGCAGGGCGTCGGAGGCCCACGACGGGACACGCGCCATCCTTGGCCCACTGGAAACCTTCCACTCGCCATCGCTCGGACGTCCATTCCCTGTGTTTTTTTCGGTTTCGTGCGTGGTTTTTTCGCCAAATGATCAAGGATGCTCCTCGATGGTCCTCGCGAGCGATGCCAGGTTCCACGAGAAACCCAACCCTGATACGGTGCGGGCGCGGCCGCGAGAAACCCTCGCAAGAAGCCCAACCCTGAGAAGCCGTGCGCGAGGTGCACCTGAGGGGAAGCCCGGCGCATCCTGAACGCAGCAGCTCCCTCAACGGCTGCGGGAAGTCACCGCGCAGCGCGAGGAGCGAAGAAACCCAGGATACCCTGACGAAACGTATCCGGTTTCTTGATGCGCGCCCCCAGGACTTACATTGATTTTTGGCGTGGGAGCGTCGCGCCTTCCGTAGCAAAACCATCGAAACATAAGTAACCCAGGGCACGCTGGAGGCAAGCAGGGTGATTCTTGGCGTGGGCCTCCACTGCAGGCCTGTTCGAGAGCCGCGTGCATTAGGAAGTACAACAACCCTCGAGACAACAACCCTCCATGTGGGTGGGGAATGCATCGTGAGTCTTTCCAGTCATCCCGCTGCTACAACTTGTTCGATTCGTGGGCCCCAGAGGTCCGAGCCACTTCCCCAGGACCAATTTTTCGTCCCAAATCGTTGTTTGACGGTCCCGGGGCCCGGCGAGGACCCCCGGAGGCCGAAAACAGCCCCAAACCACCCGCACCCATTTTCTTGGAGCGTCGGATCTCTGGGCTTTCCCCAGTTCGGCCTGCCTGCGGAACTTGTTCTTGATTTGTTTGGGATATTGACGGGTGGTCGCGAGGCCGATGCAATGAGAGGGCCCTCGGCCTTCCTCGGCCCCCCTGGTCTTGTTTTCCCCGGGTTCCCTGGACTTGTGGATGCCACGACAATGGACACCCTAACAGTCCTATCATTGAATTTACACTGTGTTTAAAATGTCGGTAACATGTTCTAAACATGTTTTTTTACATGCGTTAACTCATGTTGAACACATGCTTTAGACATCTGGAAAGTATTTGGCAACATGCTTCCTCTCCATTGATCCCGGCGGCGGACAAACCTCCCTTTAGTAAACCTCCCCTCAGTGAAAAACGCCTGGGACCGAAACCGACGTACCTGGACCCGGAAAAATGACGGCCGCGACGCTCCCTCGCGAACCGAAAACGGCCAGTTTCTTAATCGACGTGTCAGGGTAGGAGGTCTGTCCAACCCCGATGATCGTCCTCCACAGCCCTGGCCTTGTTTTCCCCGCCTTCCCTCCTTGGGCTCCCTGGACTCGTGCCCCGGGCTCCCCGTGCCGTTCCCTGTTCTGGGAGACCGACCCTCCGCCGAACATGCAATCGGAAGCGGATGGTGACGGGGAAGGGGAGGAACCGGAGGGGGACCCAAGGGGGGAGAAACGGAGCAGGGCGAAAAGGGTGGGGATGACCCTGATGAGATGGGGAGTGAGGAAGCAACAGCATGGTAACAAGAATGGGGGATCTATAATAATAATAATAATAACAATATGAAGAAGAATAAGAATAATAATAATAATACTAATAATAATAAGAAGAAGAAGACTAATAATAATAAGACACATAACAATAATACTAAGAATAATAAGAAGAACAAGCCATGAGAAAAACAATACTATAGAACACAAACTGTTGGCGCTCCGCGCGGACTTCTTGGATCTGCGCTGGACCCCGGCGCCGGGAGGACCCGGCGCGAATCCAAGAAATCCGCGCGGAGCACCAAGAAATTTCTGTTTATGGGCCTTCTTCTTCTTCTTCGAGGAGCCCTCCCCACCTGCGCGAGCCGCCGCCGAGCCTCCGTGACTGCGCTGCCCGATCGCCAGCACCGGGCCGGGAGAGGCCTGGCCGCCCAGGGGAGGGCCCCCCCCCCCGCCTCCCGCTCGCTCCCCCGCCTCCGCCTGCTCCTCCCGTGCCAACTGGCCTCCTCGCCACCATGCTCACGTGCCTCCTCCCTGCTCCCCCCTCCCCCTCTCTCCGGTGGCAGCTCATGGGAGCCTCCCGTACCATCTTGTCGGCTCTTGCGAATCGACGCTGGTCGACGCCCCATCGGCGCTAACCGACGCTCAATCGACGCCAATCGACGCTGGCCGGCGCTATCTCATCGACTCCCCGACGCTAATCGACGCTGGTCGATGCTAAAGAGGGAACTGCAAGGGGATACCAAGCTCCCATGATTTGCCACCGAACTGCTCACGTGCCCCCTCCCTGTTCCCCCCTCCCCCTCCCTCCTCCCTCTCCGTCCTGCTCCCTTTGTCCACCCGTCCTCCCTGGCAGGGCATACCCATCGGTCGGAAGAAGTAGGTAGAAACAGGAAGTAGGGAGGCGGATAGAATAGACTGGGTCCGGGCCCGCCCGGAGAGCAACAAAGCGCAGCAAAAGCATACCAGTTCTTGAAGCAGGAAGGCGCTCGAAGTAGATTGGGTTCTGGGAATCCCGAAAAAAAACATACTTTCAACGACCGATGGGCAAGTGACTGACGACTGTGACTGCTGCTTCCCGTGTGGGAGGGCAACAGCATGCTGCCAGCTGCGAGAAAGCACTCGCATTATGTCGGGCCTGTCCCCCTACAGGGGGATTTTCGACGAAAAATAAAAAATACCCCAAACATATTCAAAAATAGTCCAACAATCATCTGGGGACTATTTTTGGAACATTTTTTTGACCTTCTTGGGGTATTTTTTAGGTTTCGTCGAACATCCCCCTGTAGGGGGACACGCCCGACAGAAGTGTGGGAGGGCAACAGCACGCTGCCAGCTGCGGGAGGGGGAGGAGGAGGAGGAGGAGGAGGAGGAGGAGGAGGAGGAGGAGGAGGAGGAGGAGGAGGAGGAGGAGGAGGAGGAGGAGGAGGAGGAGGAGGAGGAGGAGGAGGGAGGAGGGGGAGGAGGAGGAGGAGGAGGAGGAGGAGAAAGAGGAGGGGGAGGAGGAGGAGGGAGGAGGAGAGGGAGGAGCGAGGAGGGGAGGAGGGGGAGGGGGGGGGGGAGGAGGGGAGGGGGAGGAGGAGGAGGGAGAGGGAGGAGGGAGGAGGAGGAGGAGGAGGTGGAGGGAGGAGGAGGAGGAGGAGGAGAGGAGGGAGGAGGGAGGGGAGGAGGGAGGAGGGAGGAGGAGAGGAGGAGGGAGGAGGGAGGGGGAGGAGGAGGAGGAGGAGGAGGAGGAGGGGGAGGAGGAGGGGGAGGAGGAGGGGGAGGAGGAAGAGCAGGGGGAGGAGGAGGCCGTGCCTCCGGTCGCAACGGATCCGCCCCGCCGTGTTCCTGGCCGCTTGCTGGACCCAACTCGCCGCAGACCAAACAGTGCCACAGGCACGAGAAGAGCACCAAAACGGCACAAACAGAAACTTTTGGAGGTCGGCGCGCACTTCTTGGATCTGGGCTGGACCCTCCTCCATGGCGCGCGGAGCGCGCCAGGGGCGGCGCTGGAGGCGCTGCTGGGGGAGGCCAGCGCAGATCCAAGAAATCCGCGCGGAGCGTCGAAAATCCCACCACCCCTCTGGGCGTGGGTGGTTTAACGAGTTTTGTTTTTTCTCTGCCAATATCCCTCCGTCCCCTGCCCGGGGAAGAGGTTATCACTGCTCTTTATTAATCGAAGACGCCTACGGCGAATCACCGCCGCCCCCTGCCTTTTTGGAAGCGCCTGCGTGGCCGAACATTGGGTTTGAGCTTGGCCAAGCTATTGGGCCACGCGTTCCCCGAGTGGGTTTCGAAAGCCTTCGGGGAACACGGAGTCGGGCGAGCTATCGGACCAGGTGGTTTCCGAGCTTTCGTGCCTCCTGGAGGACGTCTTGGAGGGGTCTTGGGCCGTCTTGGAGGCCTCTGGCGGGCCCTTTGGGCAGTCTAAGGCCATCTTCAAGCCATCTCGGACCGTCTTGGGTGCATCTTGGGCCCATCTTCGCCGTCTTGGAGGCCTTCTTGGCCGTCCTGGAGGCATCTTGGAGGTCATCTTGGCCGTCTTGGAGGCCATCTTGGGCGTCTTGGGGGCCTCTTGGGCCGTCTTGGGGCCATCTTGGAAGCCTCTTGGGTGCTCTTGGGGCGATGTGTGGGGCCTCTTGGGCCGTCTTGGGCCGTCGGAGAGCTGAAAACAAGAACATGCCCAAATCCTTCAACAACCTAGGGCACAACAATGATTTTGGCCTCTTCGGGCCTTCCTGGTGGAGCTCTTGGAGGCATCTTGGGCTGTCGTGGAGGCATCTTGGGCGCCTCTTGGGCCACCTTCGGCTCTCTTGGGAATATTTCTGCCATCTTGGAAGCCATCTCGGCCGTCTTGGAGGTCATCTTGGCCGTCTTGAGGCATTGTGGATGCCATCTTCGGCGTCTTGGGGGCCTCTTGGGCCGTCTTTGGGCCCTCTTGGGGCTGGCTTGGGCGCCTCTTGGACTGTTCTGGAGCCATCTTGGAAGCCTCTGAGACGATTTGGGGGACTCCTTGGGCCGTCTTGGGCGGTCAGAACACCAAAACGGAGAAAAAGCCAAAATCCTTCCAAAATCTGAGGAACATCAATGATTTTGGCTCCCTCGGGCATTCCTGGAGAACCTCTTGGATTCCTCTGGGGCCATCTGGGAAGCCTCTCAGGCCCATCTTGGGCCATCTTGGCCGTCTTAGTGGCCATCTTGGCCGTCTCGGAGGTCATCTTGGTCGTCTTGGAGGCATCTTGGAGGTTATCTTGCCCGTCTTGGAGGCCATCTTGGGCATCTCGGAGGCCTCTTGGGCCGTCTTGGGAACCTCTTGGGACCGTCTTGGAGGCCTCTTTGGCCGTCATGGGGCCATCTTGGAGGCCTCTTGGGCGCTCTGGGGCCGATCTTTCGGCCCTCTTGAGCCGTCGTGGGCCGTCGGACTGCTGAAAAATAGCAAAAGCCGAAATCCTTCAAGAACCACAGGGAAACCATTCATTTTTGGCCTCTTCGGGCCCTCGTGAACGACCTCTTGGAGGCCTCCTGGGCCGTCTTGGAGACCTCTTGGAGGCCTCTGGGGCCGTCTTACAGGTTTCTTCTGCGAACTTGGCGGCTTCTTGGACCTTCATGGGCCGTCCTGGAGGCCATCTTGGACCATCTTGGGCAAATCTGGAGGCCATCTTGGACCATCTTGGAAGCCTTCTTGGAGCCGTCTGGAGCAGGAAAAATCTTGGCAACCACATTTTGGGCAGTCTTTGAGTCCTTTCGGGTGGCCAGCGGGACGGGCCGAAGCCCCAAGGGGAGTTCTGAAAGAACCAGAACCGACAGGATCTAGCACGCTGGGCACCCCTGTGGCAAGCCAACAGGGGGCGGCGGATAAACATCCACTCCCCCACCCGACTGTGGGCCAACCGGGGACCCGCCAACCCCTCCCCCTCCCACAATCCCAAAGAACAATACAGACTGCACTCTGCCTTTAACCTGGAGCATGCCTGGGCTTCCCGCGACCACTTTGCATTGGTTTTTGACCGGGACGGCGGGGGTGCCGCCATATTGCTCGCTGCGCGCACGCCGACCATCCCTATCAAAAAACAAAACAACATGCACTTTGCCTCTACATTTGGAGCGTGCCCGGGCGCACCGCGGCCACTTTGCATGGGTTTTTGACCAGGACGGGGGGGGTGCCGCCATATTGTCCGCTGCGCGCAGGCCAACCATCCCTGTCAAAAAACACAACAGAATGCACGTTGCCTCTACATCTGGAGCGTGCGCGGGCGCCCCGCGACCACTTTGCATTGGTTTTTGACTGGGACGGCGGGGTTGCTCGCTGCGCGCACGCCGACCATCCCTGGCAACAAAAATAAAATGCACTTTGCCTCTACACCTGGAACATGCGCGGGAGCCCCGCGACTTCTTCGCATTGGCTTTTGACAGGGACGGTGAAGATGCCGGCATATTGCTTAAACGTGGAACACTTGCCGCACCTGGGGCGCCTGGCTTGCTTGGGCCCCCAGGGTGCCTTGTGCACTTGGAACTCGTGGCGCACATGACATGCGTGGCGCTCCTAAGCAATCTGCTCAGACGCCCGCGGGTGTTACTTTTGTGTTGGGAGGACGGGTGGGAAAGAACGAGACGGCTTGCGGGCGAAGCGGGGCCCTCGATCACTATCATTAAAAGTCACCCCCTCCCAGGGGCCGACCCGACACCATGCAGACACCATGCCGCCCCTCCGCGCACCATCCTTTCAGAAAACAGTGCACGCCGCACTTTGCCTCCACATTTGGAACATGCGCGGCCAACTCGACGCGCCTCACCCCCATCCCTCTCAAAAAACAATGCAGCATACACATTGGGGCACATTCTTGAGTCATGTTCGTGAGGCCCGCGAGCAGTTTGTATTGTTTTTGACAATGACAGCGGGGGTGTCACCATATTCCCTGCTGTGCGCAGGGCTACAATCCCTGACAAACAAAAACAAAACAACATGCACCTCGCGGCTGAGTATGCATCATGCGTGGCCATCCCGCGATCATTGTCAACTGGTGTTTGACAGGGGCGGCGGGGGTGGTGGCGCGTGGCCTGCTGGGCTCAGGCCCACCAGACACAATGACGGGTATCGGTTTTCGACAAGGATGGCGGGTGCCGACAGTTTGCCGATGTATGCTGTCACGTGCGCAGGCGACCAGACGCATGCTGCAAGTGCCCCGAACGTGGCGCACCTTGCGCGGTTGGAAAGTGCGGCACAGCTTGCGCACTCGGAGCACGTATCGCATCTGGCGCACCAGGCGTGTCTGGCATGCTCCAGCCCCCAGGGGTGCCTGGCGCACGTGGCGCCCCTGGCACGCGTGGCGCACCTCGCCCAAGCGTCGCGCACCTGGGGGCGGCCTTGGTTCCCAGTAGCTGTCCATCCAAAGGCGACCGCTGAACATGCTCAAGCTCGGGTGTTACTTATGTATAGGGAG